TGGCTGCCATCTGAACCTGAATAACTTGACAGCCTCTGTAATCTGCTATTTCCACTGCTCTGTTCCACTGGTACATTTCCCCATAGAAACCTCTGGTACTTTCTGGGCATCTGCAGGTTTGAGCCACCCCTCCAACACAGTGAATTGGTGTGTGGGGGGGTCAGGGATAAAGTGCCACTTATCACCTCCTTCTTCTGCATGGAAGTCTCTCCTCTTTGTTCTCCCTGTGGGCTTCAAATCCTACTTCAGATCATTGCTGATCACTTCCCTCCTTTTTCTCTCCCTCACATTGCTATATTCTGCCATTAGGACACCAAATCTTGGAGAGGCTGTTTCTCTGCTGTTCACCACTCTGTCATCTTCCTGGAAGTCTCGTTTGTTTTGTTTTTTGAGACAAGATCTCCCTATATATTTCAGGTTGGCCTTGAACTTACTATGTAGTCCAGGTTGGCATCAAAAATCTTCCTAATTCAGCCTCCCCTAGTTGGATCATTTTAAAAGTCTCTTTATCCTCACAACTTACTCCATAATGATAAGCTTCAATATTTCTCTTAAACCCAGTTTTTGGTACTAGGTTTTGAACCTAGGGCTTTTGCATTTGACTTTCCTCCTAGCCCTTTTTATATTTTATTTTGAGACAGGATGTCCCTAAGTTGCCCAGGATGGCCTCAAACTGAAAATTCTCTTGCCTCAGCCTCCCAAGTGACTGGCATTTTAGGCATGCATGATCATGGTCTGCCCAAATAAACACATTTTAATGGACTCTCTTTCATTATTTGGGCAATCATCAAAATTAATTGTTAAATTAGCAATTTTATATAGGGAAATTTACATGTAACTGAATGAAGAATAAAACTTTCACAATATAAATTCAATTGTGTACTTGCATAAATTTTGATAAGGAAAAGTGAGTGCGAATATGAACCTTAAAGTCTAAAAATATTCAAAATCCATTATGAAATTTGAAGAGGTAGAAATAGGAATAATAACTATAAAGATGAGAAGAAAACGAAGCAGCATGAAAAAGAAACAAAATTGCTATAGAAGATTCCAATGTTTTCTCACATGGTGGCATACTCCAGCACTTGGGAAGCTGAGGCAGGAGGAGTGCCATGAGTTCAAGACCAATCTTGGCTACCCAGTGAATTCAAGGCCAACCTGAACTATATAGTGAGACTCTGTCTTTAAAATACAATACAGTAGGGCAGGGAATTTAGCTCAATGGTTCCTCCACCCGCCTCGCAAGCTCTAGGTCCTGAGTGGGATCCCTGGTACTGGGAAAAAAAAATACAGTAAAATAAAATAAAAAAGATTTCAATGTGTTTTTTTGCTAGGGGAGGCAGAGAAGTAAATAAGAACAGAAATAATGAATGATGATTTATAAGTTTAGAGTAGTATTTTATACATACATGTTGAACTTGGTATCTTACAGAGAATAAAACTTTTCAAGCATTTCAATTGGTCTTAGCCAAAAGGCTGAGAAGTGATTTTTCCAAGCATTTATAGAACTGAAAATGTCGTGTTCTAGGCCTCAAAAAAATTCACTAAATTTTGACAAGCAAAACCAAATAGCCTAAATTTTCTAAATTCAGTTTAACATTACTACAAATTAACTACAAAAGGGGGCGGGAGATTGAGCTCAGTGGTTCTGCCACCAGCCTTGCAATCAATTAACTACAAAAGGATAGTTAAAGGTGGGTGTGGTATCAAACATCTGTAATCCCAGTATTTGGGAGATTGAGGCAAGAGAATCCCTATGAGTTCAAGGCCAGTTTGGGATGTAGTGAGGTCAAGGTCAGTCTGAACTACATAGTGAGACCCTATCTCAAAAAATGAAACAAACAAAAAGAATTAGTTAAAAAAATTATGGCCCAGTTAAAATATTTAATCTGATATTTATTTATTTATTTTCTCGTACTGGGATTGAACTCAGGGCTTCATTTTGAGCTGAATCACTGGCCCATTTAATTTTTTATTTTGAGATAGGATCACGTTAATTTGCCCAAATTGAGCTCAAATTTGTAATCCTCCTGCTTTTCAGTCTCCTGAGTAACTGGGGTTACAGATGTGTATCAGTGAGCCCAGTGTTCAACTTGATTTTTAATAATTAAAATAAAATTCTTCTTTTTTAGGGGTGCGTTTTTTGAGACGGGGTCTCACTATTTGGCCTCACAGTTTGGCCTTAAACTCACTATGTAGCCCAGGCTGGCCTCACACTCATGGCAATCCTCCTGCCTCAGCCTCCTTAGTGCTAGGATTACAAGCATGCATCACCATGCATGGCTCCTAAACTTTTGACACTAGCACAGATGTATAAAATTTCTCAGCATAGTCATACTCTAGACTGCTTCTATAAATCATTCAGCTACATATTTGCCATACTAAATACATACTCACTATTTGGATTTTTTTGTTTGTTTGTTTTGGAGACAGGGTCTCACTATGTAGTTGAGACTGACCTGGAATTATGTAGCCCTGGCCAGTCTTGAACTCACAGTGATCCTCCTGCCTCAGCCTCCTGAGTGCTGGGATTACAGGTGTGAGCCACGACGCACGGCCATATTCACTATTAAAGTTTATAGAAAAGCAAGGTATTTTCTGAGTTATATGCCATGTTTTATTTCATACTCTTTTTTTTCTTTTATTGAGTTTATTGGTACATTTTAGGTATATAGTACAGTTACATTCATTATTGGGATCTTGTACCTTTACATGACAGGTCTTGGTTCTTATTTTTATTTCATACTCTTTATAATATCTAAAGATGATTTACCATAGATGTTTATACATAATTTTGTAATTTTTCCTCCTAACACAATTTATGTGGCAATTTTTTTTAATGTTGTTTTGCTTTTGAGTGGGGGGACCTTGCGTTTGTGAGGCAGGCGACAGAACCACTGAGCCAAATCCCTGGCCCTTATTTTGCTCTTTGGTGCTGGGAATTAAACCCAGGACCTTTGCCCTGAGCTATATCCCCAGCCCTTTTTATTTTTTATTTTCCGAGGAGGTGGTGTTGCTAAATCATTCAGGTTGGTCTCTAATTTACAGCCCTCCTGTCTCAGCCCCCCAAAGTGCTGACATTATAGTCATGTGCCATTACAACCTACTCTGTTGGTGGCAGATTTGATATTCTGCTTAACTTCATTCTGAGCGGATGTAAGTACTGAGTTTCATTTTTGTGTGTGTGGTCAAGGGATTGAACTCAGGGCCTCAGCCTCATGCATGTTAGGCAAGCATTTACTACTGGATTAAACACAAGCATATTTTTCTTTTTTTTTTTTCCCCCAAAGCTTTTTTTCTGATGAGATCAATGGGTTAAGTAGAATCAAAGTAATAATATTTATTAAAAATTATTTCATTTAATGTTATGCATGCCAATACATAAAAGAATTATGATATAACCTCACTTCAATTAGTCTGCTTCATATTGTTTAAAATTTTATAAGTCCCATATTTAGATACATTTTGATAACATTTGTTGGCTAAAAATGGATATAATATTCTTCCTAATGTTGCCTAGCTATACAAACTCACAGTTTAATGCCACAGTCTCCTGAGCGCTGGGCCTACAGTTGCCAGGAATTCTTCTAAAGTCGGATTTTGATAAGTCAGTCTTCCACAGACCAAAAACAAAGTAAGACAGAGTAATTGCAGAATACAGCCTAATTCTAAAGTCCAATTGCAATGTAATTCTTACACAAAAGTATAGGCTGTAGCCAAAGCTGCACTTACAGGCAAAATTTATAACCTTATACATTTATATTTTGAAAAATATAAAGGGAATGTTAAGTGAGGGCTGGGGATTTTGCTCAGTGGTGCCACCGCCTGCCTCACAAGTGCTAGGTCCTGAGTTCAATCCCCAGTACCAAAAAAAAGTAAATGAGGATAAAAAACAAAACAAAAAGAAAGTAAATGAGATAACCATAACATTTTAATCAGAAATAAAAACCTGTGAAATATCATAACAAATTTTAAAAAGGAGCCAGGCATGGTGGTGCATGCCTATATTCCCAGAACTCAGAGGCTGCGGCAGGAGAATCACCATGAGTTCGAGGCTATTCTGTACTACATAGTGAGTTCATAGTAAACTACTTAGGCAAGACCCTGTCTCAAAACAACAAAAATTTAAAAAAAAATGTAGGCACATGATTGTAGTGTCTTCTTTTCAATTCTGAATATTTTATGCACAACCATGAATAATTACAGAGATATTGACACACTTGAATTAAAAAACTTATAAAAATTAACTGAGGGCCGGGGATTTAGCTCAGCGGTTTGGTGGCCTGCCTTGCAAGCTCAAGGACCCGAGTTCAATCCCCGGTACCAAAAAAAAAAAAAAAAAAAAAAAAAAATTTAACTGAAATAGAGAATAAGAAGAGACTAAAAACCATGGGAAAATTTTTGAAAAAAATGTTAAAAAATTAATACCCAAAAGTGAGAAAAACGGATATTTTCATGAAAAATATAATTATAATGTACATAAACTGTCACATAGAAAGATTAGCTCATTTGATAAAATCAGCATAAACTCTGATATCTAAGCTGACAGAGCACATAAAGTGCATGTGCACACACACACACACACAAACACACACAGACCAATTGTCATTATCTAAGTGAAGGGCTAGGGAAAGAAAAACCCAGGCTGAAAGAATAGCATGTACAAGGGCGCAGGTGGGGGAAACATATGGTGCCTTTTAGAAATGAAAAAGTTCATTTTGGACAGAACACAGATTAGGCAAAAGGTAGGGCTGGAGAAGGAGAATTTCCTGTGAGGTGTAATATTGGAGAGGCAATACACTGTCAGATTAGGAAGGCCTCATACATCATCTGCAGTTGAGGCATTCACTTTTTTGACCATTACTCAAAGAAAAAGATGGATTTCACAAGATCACCACTATATGGCCATATTTTGTAAAAACACTTTTACCATGTGCAGTCTTATATTTTCTAGTCATGCTCAGTTTTACTTCTAAAAAATTCTGTCTTTTTCCCTATAGACAGCAGTGAGCCTTTGTATGAACTGGAAGGAAACAATCTCCTGGGGAGACAGACTGCTAAGACCAGACCTTGGACAGTAGAAGGTACAAGAGAAGGTAGCTTTATCCAAAGAAGACGCCCCTTCCTCAAAGTGGATGAAGCTTATACATCTGCCACTACCTTTTTCACAGCCTGGAAAAAGAGTACAGAAGAAAGCATACATACCAGAAGTCTAAATATTTAAAAATTTCAGGTCAATCTAACTATTAAATAAAATTTATATTCTTCTACTTTGGCATTTACAAGTACAAAATGACTGGAAAGACTAGGTTCAGATTTAGAATTCTTGGACCCAGAATGTACATGATTTCAAGCCTGCTGTACTTCTCTTCCCAGCCCCACTCCACTGTAACCAAAAATAACAAATACATTGCAAGCATAAGCTTCCAAGTTCCATCTCTGGTACATAATAACAATAAAATAATAATAATAATAACAACATATGCAAATACATTTGGCCCTATTCCTATACAACTAGTACATATACATCTGTACACTAGGTCCATTTGGGATAGTCCAAGTTATATACACAATTCCCCCTTCTCACAGCAAACAGAAGTGGATTCATAACTGTTTGGGCAGGAATTCCATAGCTCTGTCCTAGGTACCTGAACTACAAGGGGCTTTTTTTTTTGGTACCAGGGATCAAACTCGGGTCTTTGTGCTTGTGAGGCAGGTGGCAGAACCAGTGAAATAAATCCCTGGCCTTTTTTTTTTTTTTTTTTTTTTTTTTTGATGGGGCTGGGGACTGAACCCAGGGCCTTGTGGATGCTAAACAAGTGCTCTACCACTGAGCTACATCTGCTGAGCTACATGCCTAGGCTTGAAATGGGCTTTTTTTTTTTTTAGGCAAAGTCTCACTATGTAGTACAGGTTGGCTTTGAACTCACTATGTAGCTCAGTCTGGCTTTGAATTTTTGGAGCTCCACCTGCCTCAGCCTCTCAAGTCTGGGATTACAGGTATGTGCTACCATGTCCAGCAGAATGGGCTTTTTTGTATGTAAGTTCCATGGCCAGGGAGCCCAAGAGCATGTGCTCTAAAGCCTTGCTACTACTTAAAATGTGATCCATGGGCCAGCAACATAAGCATCACTCAGGCTTGCAAAATTGCAGAACCTCAGGCCTCAACCCAGACCAACCATGTAATTCAACAAGATTAGCATGGCTTTGAAGTCCAGATAAACTAGTATAAAGTAAGGGGTCATTAGCAGGGGCCTCTCTTCTTTGGTCTGAGGTCAGTACTGCACCTTCAAGACAGTGGACAGGAGGAAAACAGACTGGACTTCAGGTCACTCTCTTGAGTATCCTTGAGCAAAATCCAACTTTATGGTATGGACTGAGCAAGTCCCCACAGTGCTTTAAACAAGAAAATGACAGCAATACTTACAATTTAGTTCATTTTGCTATAGGACAGACTGGTGAAGAGCAGCCTGAGGTGGCTACATAATTTGCAGGCCTGCTACAAAATGAATATGTAGGGCTTCTTGTTCAAAATATAGGAAGAACATAGCATTAAAGCTACCAAAACATAAGCTTCCTCCATTCTTCATTCTTCTGCAGTCTTTTTCTAGACTTACCGTGGTGTTTTTTATTTTATTTAATGTTATTCTGAGAAAAGGAAAATTGATGGTTATAATTATTAGTGTGAACTGTACCTTTCATCTTTACATTGTATTTAATGGTAGCTTTAAATGGAAATGTAAGAACATTTAACATATATGAAGAATCACTAAAACTACACAATTTATATTTTGTAGCTGGTACATATATTTTATCCTTTTACAACAATGGAAATTGCAGAAAACCAACTCAACTCTTTTGTTTCACTTCTTGATAGGTGTATGTTCTATCAACATGCTCTATCTTTAGCTTAAGGAAGGACTGAATGGAAATCAGGGGTTGCTTCATCTAGTTACCTAATACAGGGAAGTAATATGAACAAAAAGGCTATCATAGTAGCCTGTGGCCATAGATGTTTCTTAGAATGCCACTTTCCTCTTTCGGCTTTCAAAGCAAGTGCTGGTTCCTCAATGGAAAGCCTGGCCTTTCTATGTCGAATTAGATTGAGCATACTTACTTTGTGCTCATGTTGAGCCTCACTGAATGCCCATACATAGTGGGTCCACTGGAATTCTGTATGAGTCATTGTGGCTAATTTATGCAAATGAGAAGCAGAAAAGGGCAGACAAACATTGTATCTATTTTGTGCACATACATTCTATTGTCTCATTGGACTTAACTTGCACAGTACAAATATAATTATTACAATTATTGGCCGGAGATATAGCTCAGTGACACCATGCCTGCCTGGCAAGCACAAGGTCCTGAGTTCAATCCCTGGAAAAAAAAATCAAGAATTTCAAGATGGCAACAACAGAATTTAAAACTAGGCCAGAGGTCTTTTTCCGTGCAGGACACAGAGTGAGCATGCAGGTCATCTGCCCAGGAATCTGGCCCTGAGAACAACACAAGAAGAAAAAGTTCAGTGTGATAACTGAGGTAAAAAATAAGATGGTCACTGAGACTAAAGGAGTAGCCTTGAGAGAGATGAAAGGTGAATGGTTTCAAAAAATATGCAGACTGACAGATTGTATATAGACTGACAGACTACAGATGTATATATTTCTTAGTCCAAAGTGAGTAAAGGAAAGAGGAGTTAAGAATGAGTCCAAGACATGACTTTGGCAATCAGAGGAATAGAAATGTCATCTGATATTAGTAATACTGAAGAGATAAATGGAACAGAGAGAGGAATAAAAAAATTGCCCTTGAGATATATATGTATTTATCACATGACAGTAATGTTCATAGTATTAGGATATACAAATCTAAATCTGATAGTAATGTTCACAGTAGTAGGATATACAAATTAAATCTCTGGAAAGATATAAAGCAAGACCTTACCTCAAAGCAAAAAGAGTCTAAGAAGGAACAGTAAGAAAATACTGACAGAATATAGGATAGGATGTTGTCATACACATCAAAGGAAAAGGACAGTTGAAGAAGGAAGAAGTGGCCAACGTGGCCCAGTGCAGCTGAGAGGTCATGCAAGGAGGGTACTCCAGGTTCTGTTGGATTTGAGGACAGGAGGTCATCTGTTGATCTTAGCAAGAGCAAATTCAGTGGTAGAGGCAAACAAGAGAATGCAGTGGGCTACAACACGTCAGCATACAAAGACAGGTGTTGTTAGACAATGCTTTCAAAAAGAAGAACAAGGGATAACCTATGAACTAGAAGGAAACCCAAAGAGAAGGGATTTGCTTTTGTTTTTAAAACGGCCTTACTGGACCAAGGATTTAGTTCAGTGGCACCGTGCCTACCTCAAAAGCAGAAGGTTGTAAATTTGATCCCCAGTATAAAAAAAAAAAAAAAAAAAGATGGTCTTGCTATGCGTAGCCCAGGCTGATCTTGATCCGCTGGCCTCAGCTCCCCCAATTGCTGAGATTACAGGTGTGAACCACCATGGCTGGCTTTGGTTTACTGTTTTGTGTCTAGAGTAGTATATTAGTTTCCTAGGGCTCCCATAACAATGTACAGAAACAATGGCTTAAAGCAATAGCAATTTATTATCTCATAGATCTGGAGGCTAAAAGTTTGTTATCAGTGTTGGTAGAGCCATACTTCCTTTAAAACCTTCCTTGCCTTTTCCTAGCTTCTGAGGGTATTTGGGAATCTTGGTATTTCTTCATAGCAGTTGTGTAACTCTAGTCTTTTACTTCACTTTCACATGAAATTCTCTTTATGTTTGCCTTTGCATGACCATCTGTTGATAAGGACAGAAGTCCTACTGGATCAGGGACTCACTCTGCTCCAGTGTGGTCTTATTTGAACTAATTACATTTGCAACGATCCTATTCCAAGTGAGGACACAGCCTGTGGTACTGAGTGTTAAGACAGAAATATATCATTCTGGAAGTCAACATAAGCCAACCATAATAAACATAGTAAATCATAGGCTAATACCTGTTGAAAGAGTGAAGAATGTGATTCGAACACTGGAGGAAGAGTTGGCCTTTCACTAGAGGAGAGGTATCATTCCAGTGTGGTGAAACAGATGAAAAACAGTCCATATGTGGGCTGGGGATTTAGTTCAGTGGTTCCATCGTTTGCCTTGCAAAGCGCAAGGTCCTGAGTTTGACCCCTGGTACCAAAAACAAAACAAAACAAAACAAAAAACAGTCTATATGTATAAAGACTGGTGTAAAGATGTCATCTAAAAACTTCAAAAATCCTCATGTGGAGGAAGATGAGATCATCTTTTGTAGTGAGGGGAGAGTGGAAATGGAGTGGGGGAAGTTAAGAGGTATGAAGAAGAAAGTCTGATGGAAAAGAAAACTGACAAGGGCTGCCTTGTAGCACTGAGGGCTGACTGGGGTTGGAGATGATAGGTTTGTGGTGACATAAGTCAGCTCTGCTGTGTGATTTCTGTAGCAAGGCTGAAATGATACCGGTGAGAAGCTGGCAAAGACAAACAGTTAGATTGATCTATAGTTAGCATTATGCCAGGTAGTGCCAAGAAAAGACAGTAGGATGAGGAAGTTGGGAAAATGGCATGAGAGGGCCACTGATACATCTTGGAATTAGGCTAGATAAGAAGGAAGTTAAAGGCAAATAAGACGACATAAAGTGCAAAGATTCCAATGAGAAACAAAGAGTAGAGACATTTCTTTTTTTTTTTTTTTAGGTACCGGGGATCGAACTTGGATTCTTCAGCTTGTGAGGCAGGCAGTGGAAACAACTGAGCTAAGTCCCCGGCCCAGTAGAAACATTTTTAATGACATTGAAAAACATTTTTTTTTTTTTTTTAGTTTTTTGGGACATGGTCTCACTGTTTTTCAGGGTGACCTTGAATTCTGAGATTCTCCTGCCTCAGTCTCTCCAGTGCTGGGATTACAGGTGTGCGGTATCACACCAAGCATGACATTGAAAGTTATGATAGCATATTATATTTAAAAATCAGGGTAACAAACCAAACACAGTATAATTCAAATTTTATGAAATTTATATCTGCATATAAAAATACATAGAAATTTATAATGGTCATTCGAATTATGGGGTTATTTCAATATCCTTAGTTTTATGTTTTATATCTTTTTTTTTTCTAGGATTAAACCCAGGGCTTTTGCCTTGAACTAGATCCCCAGCACTTTTCACATTTTTTTTTTTTTTTTTTTTGAGACAGGGTCTCACTATGTAGTTGAGACTGACCTGGAACTCACT